AGTCAAGACTGGTTTTAATGAAGTTAATAAGCCCAATAATGGTGATACTTGGTGCTGAAGTAACGGCCGTGCTCCAAAGGGGTCAGGGAGCTACTTCAACTGCATATCGGCAATTAACAAGCGAGGCGGCAATACAACCTTCGTTTCGGAGAGCAGAGACGAGGGTGGGGATGGTTTGCTTTACAAAGATCTGTCGCCCCAAACCTTTATCTTTCCCACAAAGATTCTTGGCCCTTTGTATTTCACCTTGGGAGTGTTTCTTTCCTTCATAGATAAGAGAAATTCAATCAAGTCAATTAAGTTCCGGCTTTCGAAACCTCCAGGTTTTAGATAATGGTCAGTTTCCTCCACTCCTCTCCCACACGGTCTCCCTAATCTCGCCTTTCCTGTGGGTGTCCCCATCTCAGCCCCGCACTGCCGCCTCCCCAGGCGGGAGGCGCACGGAGGCCCCGGCGGCCCTGCGAGGAGGAGCGCGGTGCCGCAGGGTGGGCCGAGCGGCTCGCGCGCTCTGCCAAGTCCGCGGCGCTCGCTCGTAGGAGCTGGGTTTTCTCCATCTTTAAAGCCCAACCGGAGTTACCAGGGAAAAGCACTCTCATCTCTGCCCCGGCGGTCCGGGCTGGCGCGGCTCTCCCGGCCCCACTCCCAGCCCTGCGGGCCAGGCAGGGGTGAGATGGAGGCTCTCGTCTCGCCGGGTTCCCTTCTTTGTGGTCTGGCTCTGGCCCGGGTCGGAACCCAGGACCTCACCTGAGCCGCAGCCCCCCGCATTCGGCCCAGTCTTCAGGCCTCGGGGACGCCGGGCCCAGCTCCCGCCCAGGCCTCGGACGCTGTGGGCCGCGGGAAGGCCCCAGGCGGAGCGCAAGGCCCGCGCGCCGCCCGCCCCGTCCCGTCCCGTCCCACCCGCGCGCCCTGAAGTCAGGCCTCTAGGTCAGCCGCGGGCCCGGGCGCCAGTCGCCGGTATCCTCGCGGCCAGGCAGGGTTCAGGGGGCTGGTCGGCTTCGTGCATGGCTGGGCCGGGCGGCGAGCGCCCTGAGCCGGAAGGAGCTAAGGCCTAGACCGACTGAGAGGGCAGCAAGCAGGATCCGCCGGCCTCCCAAGGGGCGACAGCTAGCCTGGCCCGGCCCGCGGCCGCTGGCTTTCCCCGTCTCGGGAGGATGCGCTGCAGACGGCTGGGGAGGGACCGCGCCTCCGGGCTGGGAAGGGCGAGGCTGCGGCCGCCGCCACCCTGGGGGCTCCAGCCATGTCTGCCGCCCCCTGCAGTCCGAGCAGACCCGGCCCAGCCGGGCCTGCCTTGCGCCCCCCGTATCCTTTCAGAAGAGCCAGGTGCTTTAGCTAGTGGGTCTGAGGGAGTTCGGCCCTCCACTGGCGGCCCCCGGCTCCGAGCTGAGGCTTTCGGGGGAAGCCCGAGGATTTACCTAAGTGACCCTTGGCTCATCCCTCTGCTCCCACCTCCCTGCATTTGGTTTTTAACCGAGTGCCCTCTCTTTTTCTTTTCGGACTCGTGGCAGCACTCAGCGGCCCTGAAGGCCAGAGGCCGGTTATGGAATGGGGAAGCTGTCCCTTCGGCGTCCCGGGCAAGGCTAACTTGCCTAGCAGCCCATTCCGGTTACCTGCAGGGGAGGGACAGCAGTCAAGTGCCCGCCTCCACTTAACCAGAAGCGGGCGCCCAGGCGGCCAGCGCTGGCGCGCACACATGTTCGAACCCGCATCTCATACCCGGTGAGAACCTCTCTGTTGTTACCGGGACAAAGCTGTAACCCAAAACCAGGCGTGCCACTGCTAGGTGGTGGTTTATTGCATACAGGAACGTGTTTTTAATCATGCAAAAGAGGAACACAAAGGAGTCGGGTTGGAGACCAGCGCATCCCACTCAAATGGAAGCAGACGTCGTGGAAAACAACTAGAATGGGAAGATGCAGAGTCTGATTCAGCCATGACTTCCGCCTGAATTCTTGCCTTCCTTTGAAACCTTAAAGGACGACGATCTCTCTCCCTTTCCTGACACTAAAGGGTCCAAGCCCTCATCACGCATCTGCATGCCCAGATCTGTGACCAGTGCCCTGAGCACCTCTGATTTTCTCTCCTACACCACCCGAGCCTGTTGGCGCAGGGTATTCTGATAAAACCTGATTCTCCTAGTTGCCCCATTTCCGCCCTTGGGTTAGTGTGATACAAAAGACGGGGAGCCCCTGGGATTTTCCCCAGGGATGGGGAGAGCAAAACCCCAAACAAAACCCATCCCGATGTTTTTTGGTATTAGGCTCTGAAACTGCACAGATTATAGGATTTGTCTCGGACAGAATTAACATTACATGTGAAAGCATAGTGCCCCGGTGTATGGAGACACGTTGTATAGTATTGCTTGGAGCATCTCTTACAAACTGACTGTTAATAGCAACATGAGACCTACAATAATAATAATAATAAGGGTTTTTAAAATCTGATTAAAATAAAATCTAGACATTATTTGAAAAGGGTAGTTTCTCTGATGGAAGTAATTCGAAGGAAACGGAACCAAATTGTGAACTAGAGGAAGCTTCTGTATGCAGAAGTGGCCAGAGAGGAGGAAGCAGGCATGCGTTTGAAAGGCCTTCTATGCAGTCCTCATAACCAACGGAGGCCCCCCAATGTTAAAGAGAAACAGCCAGACTTCCTCTCTTGCAAGCAGTGTTTTTTATGTTTAAAAAAACCAACCTGCTGCTGACTGCAAACAAACAATAAGCAAATTCAAATAAAGGAGCCCTACAAATCCAACCCATTTGGTCACAGATAACTGCAGGTGCCAGGGCAGCCAGGCTATCACTAGGGGGAGGGTGGCTTCCAATTTTGTTTTTCTCCTGGAGGGAAAGTCAAACACCATGAGGTCTATGACTCACTTTTATTCCTTAATCTCCCCCACCCTTTACCTTTAATTCTTAGTGGAAACTTGGTACTTTGGGGAAAAAAGAGAGAACAAGACAAAACAAGAAAGAATCCCACAGCAAATATAATGGTAACTAGGTAAAGTGAATTGACTTGTTTCAGCACCTCGAGGAAGAAAGGTGTTCTAAGAATCAGATGGAATCCTCCACCATCCTCCCTACTGCCCCTGCGTTGGTTTGCCTACTGCAGGTGCACAAAGGGGGCCTTTTGATTAAGAATTTCTTATCTATTTGACATCATTAGGAAACATTTCCAGCAGAGGGCTTCTTTAAAAATAACATGCATTTCTTTCTAGCAGCCATATAACTGGTGACTTTTTTTCTGTGCCCCTTGGACTTCCCTTGAAGGAACCAGCATATGTCACCTTTGGGAGCCACAGGTCTGCTCCCTCCCACATCCCAGGTTCCCCAGGCAAAAGCCAGAAAGCACCTTTTAGAAACAAGTCCTGGGTTGGGGGAAGACTCTCTATTAGGCTCTGCCCCCAATCTCCCAACTGAAATCTCCTGAGGCCTTAGACTACACCAAAATCAGAAAATCACTCATGGCAGCCTTGAGTTGTTAAAATCTGTTCCTAGAACCAATAGTCACATTTTAGGATCATGGACCATTAATAAAAATCTCCTTAACATTCAAATGTTTCTAAAATGCGTTGATAGCGGATTACTGGGGCCTAATGGACGTCATGTGTGGTAACATGGTCTCTGAGTACCAAGGTTCTGGAGTGGGTGTCTGACCACAGCTACCTGATTATCAGCTTACAGCCAACCCACTTTTTAGCTGCAATACCCTTAAGAAGAGGCGTTCTTCCCGGCAGAGCCAGACTATTGCGTTCTTCATTTAACTGATTTAACAACTGCACAGTGTCGGAAAGAGGACAGAAAAACCTGCTGGTAGGCGTAAGGGGAGTGGGTCGCCGGCCACTGCCCCTCCCCTCTAGCCTTAATGGAGCGATGCCCGAAAGGCGGTGGCTGCAGTAGATCGAGTCCCTCGCCCGGGATACCTAAGGTCTAGGGCGTCTCCGATTGACTCCCGCGCCTCTCTATCTCGAGCCATCTCCGAGTGCAATCCCTGAATTGTCTGTTCGGTTAGCCCCTAACACGGCCCGCCACGTCTGGGAAAACTAGCAGGGCTCCCCTGCTGGCGGCTGGGAAGACTTCGGGCCGGGGTGAGCGCAGTCGACAGCGTTAAGAACTCGCTGGCAGCGGCCAGAACACCAGGAAGGGTGCCGGTTCCGGGGTTTCTCCGGACAACTTGGCAAAGGCACAGCGTTCCCAGTCCCCATCCCCGCCTCTCTCACAACTAAGCGAAGGTCCCCGATAGCTAGGCCTTCTCTGGCTGCAAAGCACACACCTGCATCGTCCCCGGGGGCCTCCCTTTCCCGGGCACGCGCCGCCAAGCTAAAGTCATTTGGAGAGGAGACTCAGAGGCAGCTTTCTCGCCCCCCGGGTGGGACGTCGGGATCATGACCCCAAACCCGCCCTCCGACGGGCACCAGCCCAGAAGCGGGCCTGGAACCTACGGAGCCCGGAGCCCTGCTGCGGGCCGCACGTGGTGGGGCCGCTGGGTCCCCTACGGAGTGGCAGACTGTGGTTAGCCCAGGCCTGGCAGAAGCCAAGGCTCGAGCCCCAGAGCACAATGCCGCCGCGCTCCTTAGTGGGGAAGACCGGGGGTGCATGGGGGCAGGCCTCCTCCAATCGCTTCCGTGGGCTTGACTAGGATCAGAGCGTGGTGGGTGTGGGCATAACGACGCCAGGTGGGAACGATCTTCCCTCAGTCAAGCAGACGTGGGCGTTAGTCCCGCTGCGCGCCAGGACTGCGGCCCCATGCTGGGCGGGCTCCGAAGTCCAAGCTTCCTCCCTCCAGCTCCTTGTGGTGAAAAGACGCGGGAACTGAGACAGGCTTGGCCTCAAGGCTCCGGGCCTGGCGTAACCCTGTCTCCTGGGTCCGGGTTGGGCCTGCAGCCCGGAACTCAGTGTGTCGGGGCCCGCAAGACATACCCGGCGCAGTCCCTGGGCTCTCGCGGAAGTGCGCCCACCCCGGCACCCAGGGCCTGGGCAGCAGGTTGGAGGCGACTTCCGGTTCCAAGTGGAGAACTCACCAGCTGGCGTGTGGACGGTCGGATACTCAGTGCCAGGGCCCGTTTAGACGGCTGGTTTAACGGATTGGCCTAAAATGAATTTTGAGTTAGAGCTTTTGAAAGCTGTAGGTGCACATATAGAACTTTCCTCCCGCCCCTCAGTCCTTCTTGGCTACTAATCCAAGTAAGTTTGATAACCTTTGAATTATGTTTGGTTCGAGATTTCCAGCCACCCTTATTTCAATTGCTTAGTGCGAAGGGATGTTCTTAATGGGAGGCAGACGTTTGGGCAAAAATAAAATAAAAATATATATAAATATAAAACATATAAAATACATGTTTATACTTAAATTGAAATCCAAAATGAAATTAGGTAATTTTGGAAAGAGAAATCATGTTTATTTTAATCACATAATATTTTAAAATTTAAGTTGATGCCAGTCTCTAATTGAAAAGCATCTGACAGCTCTTCTGGCTGATTAAATTGATTCTATTTTTAATTCTAGTCTAAATTGACCACTTGAAGCTTTGGAAGGCTAACAAGACTCTACTTGCTAATTACCTTTTACCAAAAGCATTTTACCTTCATTTGGTCTTAAAACGGTCCATTTGCTACGGCTCTCTGATTTAGAGGTGGGGAAGTGGAAAACTTGGTACAAATATGCATTCACCATTTTCAAAGACAAATAATTCGAGGTGATTAAACCAGGGTTCTTGATTCCTGCCCATTTTAAGTGGGCACTTTGCTTTGTCTCCTTTTTTCTTTTCCTTCATATATATTGGTAAGGTTGTGGAGTGTGTATAAACTTTTAATAAAAGATGTCTGAGTTGGTATCTTTTTCAGAGATTCTTAACCTATGGTTCAGGCATTCTTTGATGTTTGTCCATGGATAGGTTTTGTTGGATGAGTGAATTCCTTCAATTGTATGGAAATTGTGTGTGTGTGTGTTCAATATAGTTTATAGTTTTTCTGGGCAGAAAATCCACAATTTTCATCAAATTCACAAAAGGATTGCTAACCACCTAGAATTAAGAGCCATTGGTCTTTATGATGCATATGTTGGGTGAACTTGGAGATAGAAACTTTGTAGTTCTTGGTGAACAACTGGATAAGATGGCAGTCCAGTAAAAATTTAAATGTACCCTTAACTTTTTGAAGCTTTGAATTTTTTTAAACAAGATAATCCCAAGAATCTCTTCTATTTCTCATTTCTATCCAGTTAGGCCTAATCTGAATTATTATCCATGAGGCTGTTTATGTATGAGAAGTTCAAAATTAATAAAAGAACTAAAGAGTGATTTTTAATGGTATCTACTTACAAAATGTAACATAGAAAATTTAAGCAAATAATGATCCAGACCCAAACCCCCCTTTACTTGAAACACAACAACAACAACAACAACAACAAACCCATTTTCTGGCCCTAATTAAAAATTTCAGAAAATTTATTCTGAATTGTTTCTCTCTTTCCTTCTTTTTCTCTGTACATTTGTAAATTAATGGATGCCTAAGTTCCCAAATTTTTTTGTTGAAAAGTTGTTTTTTTTTTTTATTTCCCTTAAAGCTTGATGATTGATTGTCAAAGGTGGATGAAACAATAGGTAAGAGAGGTCAGAACTTCTGACTGAATCAGAAGGAAAGCATAGCTATATCATCCAGGTGAGGAATTCTGGATCAGATAGTAAAATCACGTATAGGAAACCCAGGGCAGAATTTAAATTAAATATCATTGTCAGCCTATAATTCAGAATATACAGACTTTGCCCATTTCCAATACCCATACTTTTCCGGTTTCTTTCCACCTTTTTTTGGGGGGTTCCTTTCCTTTGTTGCAGGGGGAAGCATAATCTATGAATTTATTTAGCATTTGATCCTTGTGCAGAGGCTTCTGTTTAGAGTAACCATTGTAGCTAAGATTTGGATCTGGTCCCTAACTGGGTGACCTCAGCAAGTGGACACAAGATACTAGCAATTTACTTCATATCAGCTCCCAAGCCATCACCAGATGATAACAACCCTTGAACACTGTTAATCTCTGCTTGATTCAAACTGGTGACTGCAAGGTGAAAGGCAAGAGTGTTATCTCTAAGCAATTCATGTGGCCTTCCACAGATTGTCAGTTGGGCCAATACAATTGAAGCCTCTTCTCCAGTGGTTACTTTAAAAATTTCATATCCAAAGTCTTTGGTCTTTGTTGGACTGGAAGGTAGGAGGGCTTTATTAAGGGAAATGCCCAAGGGCCAAAATGTGGGAGCTTAGAATCCAATACAAATTAGAAAGGTTGGAAAGGTAACTGTGTGTATTCCCTGCCCAATAAACTTTCAACAACATCACTGTAACTATGACTAGAAAAAGCCTCTGGAAATGGGTGTTTTTGCCAAACAATCATCAAGCTTTTAGGGAAAATACACCTTAAAAAATAAAAAGCAAAGTCCTATTTAGAATTGATTTTATTGTTTTGAAAATGACTTTATTTTTTGCAATCAGCTAGGTTAGTACAGATCACCATATATGCATTTAGCATCAGTTCAGGGCAAGAAGGGTCAGGGAAAAGTGACCAGGACAGTGGAGAATAAAAGAAAGGGTTATACTGGCGAACAGAAGCTGTCTCATGTGTTGGTGCCCAGAAGGAAACCAGGCTAAGTGGCCTGTAGGGGAACTGATACTATTTGCACTTTTCAAATATGTAGAAGGAACAGTTTTAGCCTCATATCCCAAGGTACTCAGCTCTAGCCTAAAGTCATAGAAGCATGCTTTTACTGTTTAGTGGAATTATTCTGCCCCTGCTACTCCGATACCCTAGTTGTAATGATCCTATTTGATTTTTCTAGATTTCTCTAGACAGGATTGACAGATAGAAAAAAAAGGAAGAGGTTTCAAAATACTGCAGCTGTTTTAATAATACATTGTTAAAGGTCCCTGTGTTGGAAGTAGGTTGTTGATGGTAAAGGCAAAATCAAATTATTTTAGGTATTTTTAGCAATAAGCTCCTTTGGATGGGATCAAAGACTAACTTGACATGTGCAGAATTTCAGTCCTTAGCAAATAATGTCACAGAGACATCCCACTATGTTGTTCCATAACTTCATTCCTAGATCCTTTGTTTGCTACCCTACCTTTTTAATTAACTGGTATTTGCAAACCCTACTCCATTGTTTGGTATCTTCTCCCAAAAAGGATACACTAAATAAACACAAGCTATAATTAGTAATGGGGAAACAGAGTAGCCACAGGATGGGTGCACTGTATACAATTGGTAAAGGGACACCCCTTATGATAAAAAGTCACTGATTGACTGATAAAGTGGTGCATTTTGTAACACTGTATGATTGTCTCAGTGATTGTGAGGAACTAGGGGCATGGAATAAACATTGCAGTATTGTTACTGCTTAAGACTGGCTTTGGCTTCAGTGTCTTGCTGATATAAGCTTCAAGCAGCATAAAGAGAATCACAGCATTTGCCTGGGAAGATAAGAGTAAACCATCGTGGTTAGAGTATTTGGAACTGATTACAATTTCAGAACCATCTTTCCTTAGTATCTGTCTGCCCCACGAGAAGTGGTCTGGGTAGAGCCCAGAGCCTAGACGGGGAGGAGACCAGGCCTCTGTTTCTTGGCCTAGTGCTGCCACATTTTCATGATGGTAATGATGATGATGATGATAAGATGGATTGCCCATATTGAAATGATTTGCATGTATCTTTAATAAGCAGGGCATTGGACAAGGTGGTTTACACAGCCTTTCAAAAATCTGTACAAACTGGTAAATTTACTTTTCAGAAGTTAGTATTCATTTTAGGTCTGGAATTTTAACATTTGTGTGTTTCATTGATAACTTGAGTAAATTTAATGCCAAAGAAAATCTGTAACTTCCCTTGTAGAAGTGCAAACTATGCTTATCCTGCTTATATTTTCTGAATATTTTGAGTTTTCCTGAGCTTTGGTTCATTTTATCCCAACCTCATATACAAATTGGATTTTTTTTTACTATAGCTCTAGGTCTTCCAACATTGTAGACCCTCATATGACATTATTTAATAAGGAGATATGACTTCCAGGTACCTTAGAAAGTGTAAATTAGTACATATTTTTTGTTTTTAAAGAAATTGGCCCCTAGTTTCACCGGGGGAGTAGTTTAAGATAGTGTTTAAGCATTCAGCCTCTATAGTTGGGTTGTCCAGGTTTAAATCTGAGCTTCTCTACAACATGGTAGATATTTGTGCTTATGAAGATTATTTAAGCCCTTTGAGCCTAGTGTCCTCACCTATAAAATAGGAAAAATAATACTTCTTACTTTTCAGGTTGTGAGGATTAAGGCACTTAGCTCAGTGTCTGGCAGGTAGTAAGTGCTCAATTCATGTTCCCCGTTAGTGTTATCACTGTTGTCATTCTCACTGTAGTCAGTCCCTGGCCAGCAAAACTGAATCAGAGTCAGAGCTTTGATGAACTAATACTGACTGTATTAATTCTACAAATGAATACAGTCAGGAACACTGATATAATAGAAAGAATTTGAGAAGAGAGATTATATAATATTATGAACTATATATCAAACTATAGATGTAGCATAACTGCATGGTTAAATTCATTTTATATTGTGTTTGCCTTTGTCACAAATAGTCTGTGTCTTTCTTTGTTCAACAATCAAAGAAACCATAAGGATTTAGAAATCTGCAAATATATGTGGAAAGAAGGAAGTCAAAGAAAAGACAAATTTGGCAAGGGTGTCAGATTGTAACAAAACAAGCCACCCTACCATCTTAGATCACCCCTCTAGTTCTCTCCATTTAAGATTTAAAATATTTCTCCATCACTGCAAGTAGTTCTTTTCCAGTTCCATGCACTCTGAACAACCTGCTCTCACTGTAGTTGAGAATTATACTGGCATGTTTATTACCATATAATGTAGGTTAATTCAGTCTATGGGCAATGTTTATTACCCTCCTCATCTAAAAACACTGTCAAAACATGGTTTCAATTTCTTTTTAAACATGGCTCAAACAGAGCTGCCAAGACATTTCACACTTTCCCCCTAACATTGGCATTTAATAGGAAATGGGAGGTAAAGCAGTTTAGTAATAAAGTAATGAAGACTTGTAAATTGGGCTCGTGGTTTAAAAAAGAAGTAAGAAAATAATTGGGAATATAAAAGACTTTATGCAAATCAACTAGTATGGTTGATGGCAGAAGAAGAGAACAGAGTAATGGATTTGTTCAAATGAATTTACTGAGGATGGCAATTCAGCTCTCCAAGGAATTATGGAGAAAATGAGTAAGTGGCTGGAGGGGCTGATATCTCAAGAAAGCCTGAATAGGCAAAATGGGACCACATTTGCAAAGAGTAAAGCTTTCTTTAGTCATCAGCTTCAGCAAGTTCTCCAGCACACAGGTCTGTGCAAGCAAGCAATTTGTTTAAGATTGTAAAATAAAAACATGTCTCAGGACACAGGCAGGGTAGCGAGACCTCCTTTGTAATGCCTGCAATGGAGCAAGGACCTGACAGCCACCTACAAGTGTCTGAAAAGGGATCGCCCACCAGGCAGGCAGAAGAATTGTCCAGGGTCATCCAAGGGGCTAATTTGGAGTAAAGAGATGAAAGTGAGAAATCTCTCAATGATGAACTCTCACAAGCTATGGAAGTGTCCCTCAAGGGAAGTGGCAGAAACCCCAGTTTTGAACATTTAAAGCTAGGGAAGGAAGAACACTTGGAATTAAGCCTTGGGGAACTGTCCAGCATTAGCATAGGGATGAACTTACTACTAGCTGACCTGTTAGGTATGAGTTTCCACTTACAATTTATCTAACTCATCCTAGCACTCTGGGAGGCCAAGGCAGGCGGATTGCTCGAGGTCAGGAGTTTGAAACCAGCCTGAGCAAGAGTGAGACCCCATCTCTACTATAAGTAGAAAGAAATTAATTGGCCAACTAATATATATAGAAAAAATTGCCCCGCCAGCCCGGGCATGTGGCACATGCCTGTAGCCCCAGCTACTCAGGAGGCTGAGGCAGTAGGATTGCTTGAGCCCAGGAGTTTGAGGTTGCTGTGAGCTAGGCTGATGCCACGGCACTTGCTCTAGCCTGGGCAACAAAGTGAGACTCTTTGTCTAAAAACAACAACAACAACAACAACAACAAAAAAACAAACAATTTATCTAACTCTATGCTTATTAAATACGACTGTTGTTTTTAAATTCTCTTGACAGTTATGTCACTAATGGTGTTATTGCCAAAGGGATTTCTGTAGGTTGATACGGATTTACATTTGTTCCACAAGGAAATGTCGTTACTTAATAACAGTCAGTATGTGCCTTGAAGACACTTCAGCTTTGACCTCCTCAGGAGATTGAAAGAATACCCAAGCACATTGCCAGCTTCTCATGTCTGCTGGAAATTTCTCCAAACAGCAGACACTAACTGCATTACTAACAATTACATTAATAATAAAATCATAATGTTTTTCTGGCCTTAGAGACATTAAAATATATTTTAGAATGGCTATAGGAAAGGCTTCTCCGGCATCAGATTTATTCAAAATTAAATTTCCACTTGAACTTTCTTTAGAATTTAGGAAAACTAGGGCCATGATAAAGATGTACCTATTCATTCAGCAAATATTTGAGGGTCTTCTCTGTACCAGATACCATTCTAGGTCTGAAACACACAAGGTTTCAGCTTCCATGGAGCACATGTTTGTTTTTAAGGGAGAATGTAATGATGAATGGTGATTATGGGAGCCAGAAACTTCTGAGTTAAAAGGAAAACACCAGTGGGTTTAAAGGAGTATGGAAATGGAAATGACATCAGAAGCTTGCTGTTGGTCAGCACTCTAATGCTTGAAAACATTTTTTTTTCCAAAATGCATTTGAAAAGAATTCAGCATTCTAATGAATGGAAGGAAGCAGAGTTTGTGATTCTCCTTACTCAAGTGTCCCAGTTCCTCTCTGGGTGTCCCGGGTATGTGGAGGGAGGTTGGAGAACACGAGGTGCTCTGCACTGAGAACACATGTGGGTCTCAGGGGCTGTGGCTGCTGAAGCTCCATATGGTGTCATGTGTCCTGGCCCTGTTGTGTGACAGTTGCTGCTAACAAGCTTGGCTTTGGCTTGAATGTCTTTGAAACCACCCCCTCCCTCACCCTCTCCAATTGCCTCAATCAGACCAACTCCTAAAACAACAGAGCTGTTAAAGGAATGGCCAAAGTGTCACTGGAATGGGCAAAAGCAATTGCTTAGTGTTTTCTACAGGCATACTGATTATAAATTAAAGAAAGGCCCTTTTGGAAAAGACAGTCCATTAAGAGACCACTTAATGCTTAATTACATGCGGTTGGAAACTCCACAGTGTAACAGCCCAGCCAAATGGGTCATCAGAGTCTAAGATAGACACAGTAACTGATGCAAAGTTTCCTTTTGAGCTCCAGGTACAAAAATTCAGACCCAGAGTGGTGTATTCTCACACTTTGGGGCTACTAATAATCCTTAATTATTACTGTCCCTGTGGTGTAATGTGATCTTGGAAAATGTCATAAAAGAATTCCTCCAAATTGTTTGTCTCTTTGCTCTTCCTCCTCCCTCCCAGTTTCTATTTCTTGGCTCTGTTCTTTTCCATAGTTGCCTCTCTCTTTCTCTCTCTCTCTCCCCTCCCAATGGTATTGTGAGGTTGAATTCACCAGGTGTGTAAACTTCCTCCCTCATCTGACACTTCTTTGGCAGAAAGCACAGGTAACCCAGCAGGTATTGTCAGGGTCAAGTTAAAAAATAACAAAACCTGCCAATGCAGATTTCCTTCTTGTGGCGCCTGGCATCAATGGGTTCTCAAAAAGACTGCTGTGGCCTTGATATTTCCCTTTTCACAGCTGGCATGGACTTGGCAGTTCATCCGTAGCTCACCCACCTTTCTTCTACTCTGTCAGGACCAAAGGATGGCTGGCATTTCCCCTGGTCACCAAGGCAGGGGAGATAAGGACAGGAGCAGAATGGCAAATGGCTTTATGCTATTTAGAAAAAGTTAGTTGGAAAAAGTACTTGTGGTTAGGTCTCAGTTTTGAAGCTCAGTGGTCATTGTTAGGCCCTTGATTCACTGAAAGACAGCTGGCTTGGTAAAATGTTGAAGATGTTTAAACTATCTTTTTTTAAAATTTAAAACTGAAGGAAAACATAGTGCTGTAAGTAGTGAGTTACATGCCAGGTACCGGCTAAAGTTCTTACCTGCTAGTTAGTTAAACTTAGAAACTAGCTGATTTTGAGAAAAACAATAGAGGGTTTTTAAAATTTTGTTTTAGTTTTCCATGGTCTAGTAGTAATTACTAGTAGAATCTACTAGTAGAATTCTAGCAGTAATTAGTAGTTTAGAATCTAAACTAGTAGATTCTAATTAGTAGATTAGAATCTACTAGTAGATTCTACTAGTAATAATCTTACTAGGAAAAAAACCTAAAAATAATATGTCTTTAAAAAAAAAAAAGAAAACGTGATGTGCTACTGGCATTAGAAAGCTTTGTCTAGCTTCCACAGCCCTCCTTCAGAGGGAGTGCCCAGACTGTTCCCAAATCTTTCTCAGAATGGTGCAATCTATAATGACACTCCTGAACCTTGTCACTAACCAGTGCTCCCTACACACTCCCAACATATTGTTATGTAACAATGAAGTTAAATGTTCAAATAAAGTTGCAAAATGGTTTTCCATATATATATTATTTTCTTTAACAACAAAGTGAAATTATATTTTTGTCACTTTGCTTAAGGCAGTGTGCATGTCCTCTTCTGCGTCTCCTATGGGGTTGGCCTTGTTCATAGTTGACTCTAGTGAAGAAATTCCTGAAGAAAGGAGGGGTGTGTGTGTATGTGTGTATGTGTGAGTGTGGTGGTGGTATATTTAGAACTTGTTTATTTAGTAGCTAATCTATGATTCTCCCTATTCTCGCACTCTTCCTAGGTCAGGTCAGAAGCTCCTTCTGACACTTTTCTTCCAGAAAACATATAAAGTTGTATGTATTTCCAAGACATCACTCTGCTGCCTACATCAACAGTAAAGAAAGAAATGCAGCCATATATTAGGGTGCAATATTGATCAAGAAGGAGGATCTTCTTGCAGGTAATAAATATTCTTTCATTTTAGAAGAATAGATAGGCATTCTGCTAAGAAAGGAAAGTTAATATATTTGGAATAATAATTAAATAGTATTAAATGCTACTAATTCATTAGGCCATTGAAAGTTACATCAAACATCTGAAAAATTATTTCTAATATTAATGGAGAGAGAAGAAAGTACATCACGGAACTCCTTGTTATTTTCTTTTTTACAAAATTAGCACTAATAGGTACAAAATATTATCTAGTTTAAACATTTGAGGCACAGAGCAAATAATTGCAGTATCAGAGAAAAACTGCCTCCCCTCCAGTCAGTGGCTAATGTGATGATGCCCTAAGCCTCCACTATCCATTCCCATCTCCTCAGATAAGCAGAGCACAGCCATGGGACTGACTGGTTGCCTGTTTCACCTGGGGAAGGTGGCCAGTAAACACTTTATCATAGAGTATAGTGGAAAGCAGCATCCCTTATCTGTCCCCCCTGCTTCCTGCTTTCCACCTTGCAATCTGTTTGTTCACGCTGCTATTAGATTTATTTTCTAGAAACCAGACCTACCACACATAAGGGTCACAAAATAAAATCTTAACATCTTAGCCTGGCATTTAGGGTTTTACAATAGTGCTTTTCAAACTTTAATGTGCATACAAATCACCTGGGGATTTCATTAATACAGATTCTAATCCAGTAGGTCTTTGGATGGAGCCCAAGAATTTGCATTTTTAACTATCTCCCAGGTGATGCAGATGCTGCTGCTCCTGGAATCACACTCTGAATAGCAAGTTTCTACAACACTTGGCCTGGCCCAGGGGTTAAATACCTTTTTAGTTTCATCTCTATTTACTCCCCACCCCGAATCCTACATTCTAGCAAAACTGTTGTTCTTGGCATTCCCTGGCAATTCTCTGACTTGTGCTCTGATTCAGGTTATATTCTTTCTGCCTGCTAAAACATTACTCATCCTTCCAGACAGCTCAAATATCACCATCTCTGTGAAGCCTTCCAGCTCAGCCGCCCCCTCCTTGGTCAATTAATCCTTCTGTCTACCAAGTTCTCACAGCACTTTGCAAGTACTGCTCTTTAGCACTTATTATAAGTTATCATAATTGTTTGTTTACATGATTGTCTTTCCAGCTAGACCATGAGCTTGGGGGGAGGGGTGTACACTTACGCATCTTACGATCTCAGCACCCAGTATATAGCCCAGCCCACAAGAGTTCTTTAATAAATATTGGTTGAATTGAATTGAACTGAATTTGTCATTATCACTGTTTTGCAGAATACTTTTTTTTTTTTTTTTTGAGACAGAGTCTCGCTTTGTTGCCCAGGCTAGAGTGAGTGCCGTGGCGTCAGCCTGGCTCACAGCAACCTCGATCTCCTGGGCTCAAGTGATCCTCCTGCCTCAGCCTCCCTAGTAGCTGGGACTACAGGCATGTGCCACCATGCCTGGCTAATTTTTTTTGTATATATATTTTTAGTTAGTCAATTAATTTCTTTCTATATTTTGGTAGAGACGGGGTCTTGCTCAGGCTGGTTTTGAACTCCTGACCTCGAGCAATCCGCCCGCCTCGGCCTCCCAGAGTGCTAGGATTACAGGCGTGAGCCACCGCGCCGGGCCCAGAATACTTTTAATGATGAATGTTTTTAGACAAAAACATTTCTTGAGGGAAATCTGTACCTTCTGCTCGATTTTGCTGTGAACCTAAAAAGGCTCTAAAAAATAAGGTCTATCAAAAAAAATTTTTGAGCATATTTTGACAGAGTTGAGGAGGAAGTTATAAATCATAGTTATTATTATATTATTATCAACTATGATAACTAACTATAATTATTAATAATAGCTGTTATTTATCTATTGAATGCTTACTACATAATAGGCACTTGTGCTAATTACTTAGATATAAAACTTCATTCAATTTTTACAATAACCTATTTTTTACATAAGGAACATAGCACATAGTTCAGGGGATAGGTCCAATGTTATAGTTCCAGAAAATGATAGAGTTGGGATTTAAAAACTCACTCTTGGATCCTGCTCATGCTTTTAGGCATTTTTTTTGCTGCTGGAAGAATGGTCCTTGTTTTAGAGATCTGCAGAGTCTGTCTTCCTGCCAAAGGTATTGCACTTTAAATTATATATGCTCTAAATGCAGCGGGGACTCCCTCCAGGGCAGGCCCTAAACCTTTTCTGTACCTTGGACTCCTTTGGCAGTCTGGTGATGCTTATAGACTCCTTGTTAGAATTATGTTTTTAAATGCAAAAAAAAAAAAAAAAAAAAAACCACCCAAAAACTTGAATTACAAAGGAAACCCAATTATATTGAAATATATAATAGTTATCAAAATAGTATAAAAGAGTTATGATATAGTAATATGTGCTTTTTATTAATGCTTTAAATAACAAGGTCTAGTAATGAGTTGAATAACTACTTTAATTTTAAAGTATTGATGAGCCTAAAAAATATTTTAAGATATATGCAACTACTAAAGTATGATGAAAACATCTGTGATCTCCCTATTCAAGACAAAAATCACAAATATTAAATACTGTAGTTTGTTGCCTGTATTCACAATGGAAGAAAATGCTAAATTTCCATAAGAGGTTAATGCAATTATGATGTTACTTTTCTTTCCATCCAAGTTCATGAACCCCCAGAATTCTATGTGTGAACACCTTTGATATGTATGTGTTGGGTGTAGCCCTGTGGACTTCAGGTTAAAAATCCATGTTCTAGGGAAAAGAGCCTTGTCTGCCTTTTTGGAGATTTTGAAATACTCAGATTGACTAAATGGAAGTCAGTCAGGTGGAAAAAGTTGTCACATGCACTGAAATGCCAAAATGTCAGTAGCAAGAGGTATGTAATGAAGGAGGAGTATAATAAAGGGGAAGAGGAGGAGGAGGAAGAGGAGAAACTTGGCAGTGTTTGGATCCACGCAACAGGTGAGAAGTTCGTCCCATGGTGGATGAACACAAAGATTTTCAGAAGAGGATGCTGAAAGCATACCTGGAGGATTCTAAAGGGTAGGTAAAAGTCTTAGCAATTGGAGAAATTCTGTAAATGTCCTCAGGAGGAAGAGATACCCTGTGATGGTTAGTGACACTGTACTGAGGAGTACGAAGGGATCTGTACCTGGAGTTGTCATATGATGGCAAATTGGGAAGTGTTTTTACCTTCCTATATTATATACTGATATATGGCAAGGGTCATCAAACCCACCAACTCCTATGTACTTTGACTGATTCAAATGGGAACAAATGACATAGTTTAAACCCAAACCTAGCATATATCTTTATTGACTTTGAACAGATAGGCAATCCAAAGCTTGGAGGCACAGATGGTATTTTGATCACTCTAAGTTGGAAATTTGTCATTCTAATGGCATTGAATGCCTTCATCTGATATGCAAGTACACTGTGATCTGATATCTTAGGGTCTTTTTTTTTTTGACACAGAGTCTCACTTTGTTGCCCAGGCTAAAGCGAGTGCTGTGGCGTCAGCCTAGCTCACAGCAACCTCAAACTCCTGGGCTCAAGCAATCATTCTGCCTCAGCCTCCTGAGTAGTTGGGACTACAGGCATGTGCCACCATGCCCAGCTAATTTTTTTCTATATATTAGTTGGCCAATTAATTTCTTTCTATTTATAGTAGAGATGGGGTCTTACTCTTGCTTAGGCTGGTTTCGAACTCCTGACCTCAAGTAATCCACCTGCCTCGGCCTCCCAGAGTGCTAGGATTACAGGCGTGAGCCACCGCACTCGGCCCCTCTTAGGGTCTTATCTCCCTTTTCTCATGGCACTTTATATTCTTGACAGTGGGTCCTGTCAGAATTCTTTACCTACTCCCAATTTATTTTCCTTTGCAAATCCCAACACCACTAATGTCATTTCTCTTACCCCAATCCCCAAATCCTTTCCATCCTTTATGGTTCAACTCAAATTCTGCCTCATCCAGAAAGATTTTCCTGGGCCTCCTCCTGTCTGTCATGGTCCCCAAGCTGGAAAAAAAATCTCTTTCACCCTGGATCTTCCATAGTACTTTATTTATATTTCTCTTATGACATATAACTTCTTTCCTTGTTACTATGGAAAACAACAGTTGTGGCCTTTGAAGAAAAATTATACTGGAAAAAGGTACCCAATAATGGAAGGAAAAAAAGGATCAAAAGTAAAAAATAATACTTAAGGCCCTGGATAGTTACATATCCACATGCAGAATATGAGTAATAAACAAAGTGAACTTGAAATATTAACCAAGGTTGTAAATATAATTGCACAGGTATTACCCAGATGGTAGTATGATAGGATTATGAATGGAATGTGGCAAGTAAATATATACATTATACACACACACACCCATATATTTGGTTAAGAAAAAAAATTTCCATTAGGAGTGCAGGAGAAGTTTAAGGAGATACAGTATATACCAACTTGGAGTGACATGATCAGAGCCCTCCTTATAAAGATTGCTTTGGTGACAGCTGAAGAATGGATTATAGCAGAAAGAGATTTAAGGCAGAAAGATCAGTTGGCAGCCATTTAATTAGTCCAAGTGAGATATAATAAATTCCCACATGAGGACTTTAAGTGTTCAAGTCTAGGTGCATGGGAGTTATGTTGATGCCTTTGAGAGAGTATATAATAAGAAGAGAAGATGTTGGGGGCAGTTGCAGAATAAGAATGGTTTTGGCTCTAAAAACTGCTGGGATACAGGAAAAGTGAGAGCCTCTCAATTAAGGAACAAACATTAAAGGCAATGGTAAACTGAATTAGTAGAAATATAGTGTTCCAATCCTAACTCTGGTTAGGATTGCAACTCTGGTTGCAGAATTGCAACTGGATCTGCATTCACCCTTTATGAAGGACTTTAACAAATATAGTGACTTGCAAATTCTCTCATTTGAAGAATATTGAAAGAAACTGGGCATATTTAAATTTGAAGAGAAATCCATAAGGGGATATGATTACTGTCTCCAACTATGTGAGACATAGAAAAAGGAAAGAGAGGATTAATTATTTTCTGGAGCAAAAGGTGGTAGGGTGGTGGTAGATGGAATTTACAAGAAGAAAAATTTTTGACTTATCCTAAGAAAAAATTTATTAAATAGCAAGAGCCTCTGAATATTGCAATGAATACACTTGCAGAGCTGTGAACCATTCATCGACAAACCAGTGAAGCAGAAACAAGATGAAACTTTGGTCATATGTTTTGTAGAAAGGAATTTCCATAGCCTATAGAAGGGAGGTTGAATTATAGGACGTTTAAGATATTTCCTACTCTAAAATCTTTAGCTATTCTCTAAGGAAAGCTTCCTTATTTCCTTCCTAGCCTGATCAGAGTGAGCCCCTTTCTCTGTGCTCATGAAGCACCCTAGGGCTATCCCTGTCATACTAGTACGACGCATTGTGGTAATAGTTTATCTGTCTCTCTCGTTAGACTGCCATGTTTTTGAGGATAGGGATTGTCTATTGCATAGTGCAGTGTCCAACACAGAATATTAGCATTCAGTAAATGTTTACCAAATTTTGAATAAATGAATGAATGAATGGAGGTGATTTGGATTCAACTGCTGTAAAATTTTGGTAAAGGGAGCTAAAGCTGGGAAGTTTCAGTTTGCAAAATTACTTTCAGTGGGAAAGTCCCATTCTCATATGCTTTCTTTCCCTCTTTCCCTAGTACAGACTCACTTATCAGAAATATGAGGGAGTTTGATCATAATTAAGTGAAATCACCTTATCTGAAAAGTCAGAACGTGCTTTCAGGGTAAGCAGAAAATCAGGATACTTCAAAGTTGCATTTGCTTTTTATTTAATTAATGAAAATTTGAAAGCATAACACCAGTGGCTATTAAAAGTTCAATAGCTAGAAAAATACCGAGGTACATATGGGAATGAACAGTATGGAGTCAACTTACATCGCTTCTGAGCAGTTGAGCATCATGTGATCATACTCACATTCTTGGGAATCATCTGACATTGCAGGTGGTTCTCCCAAAAGATCCAGTTTCTCATCTATCCTTTGATATTTTTTGCACACTGATTATAATGCCCAGAGTTGTCAGTCTATATTAACACAGACTGTTGCTGAAATTGCCATGCGGCTGAAATATATGGTTCCCTGTGTGGGGAATGGTCCAAACATGGCTTGTGCCTGCAGGTTCAGGAAACTTAAGTGAAGATGCTAGTCTGCCATCAAAAACATGTAGAAAGAGCTGCAAATCAGATCCGAGAACATGTCCTATGTGTAGCCATCATCCAGATATGGAATTTAAGGCTATGTTCTCTCCTTAGGTTGATGCTGGAGCCAATAAGAAATTGCACTTGTTTACAGAAGAAGGAAAGGTAAAAGTCTTCTTTGTGGGAGAGGAGATAATATATTCCTTTCTAGCACATTTTGGGTGGCAGAGCTACCCACTGTCTGACGACTGCCACACAACCCAATGCTTCTTGGTGCCTCACGTACACTCAGGTCAGCATGGCACATGTTAATGAATGTTGTCCTAGGGATTATCTAGTTACAAAGAGAATTATTACATCAGAAGTGGATAGTTGTATCTGTAATGGGAAGGATTATAAAGGAAGAATGAGGCACCTACTGCAAATGTAAAGGTTTCTTATCTCAACAACCTAATAATTGTAACCAGGACTGAAAGTGAAGATAAACAGATCCCAATATTAACATTAACACTCTTTCACAATGCTGAATGGAAACAGATTCAGGTGTCATTTAATTTTCCATTAATAATAAAAAGAAATCTTACATGTTAAAAATCTCCTACTATATTTGCATTATCAGTGTTGACATTACAGATGGACCAATCTGTTCGCTCACATAAGGCACCTTAAATGGCCCTATCATAAGAGAGTGAAGAAAAGATTTCTGTGAGGCACAGGACTGCATATGTGTCTCTGTGCATGTGTGGTGGGCGGTGACTGAATCCAAATCCCTCAAGGGATTTGTTCTGTGAAGTGTGGATTCAGTCAAGGGGCCACACTCAGGGATCTGGAGGGCCACATGTAGCCTTGAGGCCGCAGATTCCCACCCCTGGAAGTGTGTGTGTATGTGTGTGCATGTGTGTGTATGTTTACATTTGAAGGATGCTGTTAACCAAATGAGACATGGTCTTAAAAGCTCAAATTTCAATGAGCTAAAGGTTATATAAACCGAAGAGTATAAATACTACAGCAGAAACTAAGGCCTTTAGCATGCTTGTACTTAGTGGTTTCCTCCTGCGTAGCCAAAACAAGCACACGTGTTGAATGTGTCTATAGATCTCCTTTTATTCCTGTCTTTATTCCTCCACACCCTTCCTCCACCCAATTCACTTTGAATCCAAGTGTATACAGATGGTTAAAGGGAGAACTTGATCTAGTAAAAGATTTTTGCCTCCATGAATGTTTTCTTGCACTATAAGGAGTTTCAGAAAGCAGGAGTGGGGTGTTTCCTATTGGCCATCAGGGATGGGCTATTCAGCGAACTGACAGTGGTGGATTCTGAGAAGAGGTTTAATTCAGAAGGCCAAGGGATTTAAGTCGGCTTCTTCCTCTGATAACATTTCTAAGATGGTCACTAGCATCCAAATTTGACTTCCAGTTAATCTTAAATTTGTAGAAAACTTGGTCCCAGGGGATGCCAAAGATGAATCCCAAGGGTTTGTTCCCACAACATTCGTCCCACTCAGCCTACGTGTGAACCTGAGGAAACCATGAAGCTACCAGTTTTACCTATCAGGAGAGACTGCAGTGGAGAGTAGACGAGAAGGCTATTTAAGAGTCTTCCATCAAGCAGAACCTTGGAGGTAAAAAAAAAACAAAACAAAACAACAAAAAAAAAAGAGTCTTCCAGTAAATGCTGACATTACACACTGTGCACTTCTCTCAGTTTTTTTCTTTTCTTTTTCTTTTTTTGAGACAGTCTTCCTTTGTTGCCTGGGTAAGAGTGCTGTGGTGTCACTAGCCTACAGCAACCTCAAACTCCTGGGCTCAAGTGATCCTCCTGCCTCAGCTTCCCAAGTAGCTGGGACCACAGGAATGCGCCACCATGCCCAGCTAATTTTTTCCATATATTTTTAATTGGCCAATTAATTTCTTTCTAGTTTTAGTAGAGACAAAGGTCTTGCTCTTGCTTAGGCTGGGTTTGAGCTCCTGACCTTGAGCAATCCTCCCTCCTCGGCTTCCCAGAGTGTTAGGATTATAGGCGTGAGCCACTATGCCCAGCCTCAGTTTTTTCTTTATAGGACTAAGACAAGCACTTCTTCCCATGTGAGCTTGCAGATTTCCCAGAGGGCTTGGAAGAACCACCATGAATATTCCTTTATGAGTAAAGATATTGTTGAAATGACCAGTTTAAACATAGCAAACTGTGAAGTACCACAATTTTTTAAATTTCTTGGCAGAGGTTTTAAGTCAACATTTCAGAATTTAAAAGCAATGAAAAGAAAAGCTGTCCTGATGATCTCAAATACGGAGATGACCAGAAAAAAAGAAACAGTGATGGGCCAGGCACGGGAGGATCAAGGCAGGAGGATTGTTTGAGTTCAGGAGTTCAAGACCAGCCTGAGCAAGAGCGAGACCCCATCTCTACTAAAAATAGAAAGAAATTAGCTGGACAACTAAAAATATATAGAGAAAAAATTAGCAGGGCATGGTGGCACATGCCTGTAGTCCCAGCTACTCGGGAAGCTGAGGCAGGAGGATTGCTTGAGCCCAGGAGTTTGAGGTTGCTGTGAGCTAGGCTGATGCCACGGCACTCTACTCAGGGCAACATAGTGAGACTCTGTCTAAAAAAATAAAATAAAATAAAAAAAAGAAACAATGATGAAGGGTACCTTCCTGACATTTGCACTGATATTCCAAAAGCCTAAAAGGAGGTTAGGACTCTATACTAGAGGGTTGCAACCTTACTCTCAAGAATTGACTCAAACCCCATTCATGGCAAATTCTCTAAAAGAGCAAGGGACAGAAAGGAAAAAGCAAAAACACCTGTTGGTAATTTTCCACAAACAACATTTTTGTCTTTCAAAAGACCAAAGGGAGGCTGAACTTCAGAGACAAGGTTTCCCTTGTTGGAAACAGAGCAGGCCAATAGCACCTTTAAACACTTACCTGTTTTTCAAGCAGCCAAGGGAGGTAAAACCTGCAGAGAGCTCAGCGAGGGCAGCCCTAGGAAGGCCCTGCAGAGGTGCTTCATTAACCCGATTAAGCAGGTGGATGGAGAGGGCCTCACTGATAATTTACACCTTGCTAATGAAGCGTGTGACTCTTAATCTCCTCCAAACAAGATACACTCATGAAACTCTGGTACAAGGAAAGGGGAAATTAATTAGGTGAAAAAACTATGAGATTATAGCAGAGGGATTCCTGCAAGGCAACTGTAACCTGGGTGGTTATTCATTTTAGCCTTTCTGAAATTAATGGCTGAGCTGTCAAGTAAACAAGTTGTGGTACCTTTTGGGCTTATATGAAGTTCAAAAGCAGTGCATCATTATGTGCCAGATTTTATATTTCTTGCGACATCTTAGAAAATTGCTCTGATGGAAATAGTTTCTCTGACTTCTAGTGAGTTATTTTAATAGACTTGACTACAGTACAGCTACTCATAGAAGACTATATACAGAAGATTCAGTTATATATTTCCTATAATTTATTTTAAAATGTTAAATTGCAAAAGATTCTTATATCTAATGCAAGCAGTAAAGGAATTTTGTGTCCAGAAGAAAACATTTTAAATGGTTAGTTAGAAGTATTGCAAAAATGATATTATCAGTTTAGTAAAAGAAATATAATAACAGTAGCTGATATTTATCAAGTATTGATATACATCAAGTACTAGCTAAGTACTTTCAATTTACTAACTCATTAGTCTACACAACTCTATGAGGTAATCATTAACCCTTTTGTTTATAGATGCCTAACCTAAGGCCAAAGCATGTTTTCTCTTTCACTTGTAAATGAAATAAACAGGTACTTAAAGCCAAAAATTAATTTATTTTTAAAATTTTTAATTTATTTTAGAGACAAGGTCTCATTCTCTGTCACCCAGGCTGAGGAGTGCAATGGCATCATCATAGCTCACTGTAACCGCAAACACCTGAGCTCAAGTGATTGTCCAGCCTCAGCTCATAGCTTTTGTTACTTGAGGACTTACAAACCACCATTTTAAAAATGGCTTTCTATTCTCTGCCATATCTAAACCAAACTCCTTGTTTCAGAGACTCCACAGACTCTCTTCTGCCTAGCACCCGCCCTGTGTTCTAGGTAGGGTGGTATTTTCACTGTACCCACTCCTACTTCCACCTCTGGCCTCGTTGCGTTCTCCCTGTTTGGAATGCCTTCCACTTTTCTGCCAGTCCAGATCCTACTCATCCCAGAAGACCAAGCTCAGTTCCAAAATCCATGCATCCACCTGCCTATCCATCCAATCCTTCAAAAACCATTTCTCAGTGGGGTGCAGTGGCTCACGCCTGTAATCCTAGCACTCTGGGAGGCCAAAGTGGGCAGATTGTTTGAATTTAGGAGTTCGAGACCAGCCTGGGCAAGAGCAAGACCACCCTGTCTCTACTAAAAATAGAAAGAAATTCATTGGCCAACCAAAAATATATAGAAAAAATTAGTGGGGCACGGTGGTGCGTGCCTGTAGTCCCAGCTACTTGGGAGGCTGAGGCAGGAGGATCCCTTGAGCTTAGGAGTTTGAGGTTGCTGTAAGCTAGGCTGACACCACAGCACTCTAACCCGGGCAACAGAGTGAGACTCTGCCTCTAAAAAAAAAAAAAATTCTCTACCAGGCATCAAGCCCTAGATGAAGTCACAAGGACCCAATGGTCAAATGAGACAAGGTCCTGGCCCCCCAGGAGTACATTGTTTAGAAGGGGCAACAGACACATAAGCCAACCACTCCAGGAAAGGGGAAATACACAATGTCAGTGGTGCACAGCAGTGAGGGGGAGTGTTCAGTGCTGCCTGGATTTAGGGTGAGATGAGAGGAGGTGTTTCTCAAAGTGAGGCCTGAAGAATGGCCAAGTTTGGGGAGGGGATTCAAGTAGAAAGGGACTCAAAGGCATGGAACTGTAAAATATCAAAAGATGTTAGGGGAACTTCAGATGCTTTGGTATTGTTGAGTTGGAAGAGCGGGTGGTAAAGGGGCTGGAGCAGTGACAGAGGCCAGATAAACAGGGGCTGTGTCTGCAGAGCTAAGGCTTCTGTGTGCTCTTTCCTCCAGGCAGTGGAGCTCCCACAGATCCTGGGAGTTTTTGTATTAAGTGTAAATGGTGGCTTATAGGAGAGCAAGACTGGAGGCAAGGAGATGCATTAGAAGTCAGCTGCTAAAGTTCAGCTGAGAGGTGAGGAGGCCTGCGCTAAGCCTATGACTGTGGGGTGGAGGGTGGGCAGCCAGCCAGAGAACAACTTAGGAGGAAGCAAAAAGGATGTGATCACTAGAAGAGTGTCTGATACATGCTCAGTAAATAGTTGTTGAATGAATAAATATGCTTTGTAAAATTGTTTTTGTTCTATGTTTGCAATTTTTTCACTTAGCTCTCGGAAGATTTTGTAGTTTTTTAAAAATTATCTTTAGAAGTAGTTTTTCCCATGTTTTCTACTCTGTTTCCTCTGAGTTCTATATTTTTTTGTTTGCTTAGTCATCTTTAATGGCTGAGGCCTTCCTCAAAAGCAGAGTGATCCTTGTATGTCCATTTCTGTTTAAACATGAAGCACTAAAAGCCAATTGGAAGCTCTATGTGCACGGGTAGAATTTTCCTGACTATTTGGGTTCACTGTAGGATGGTTGGGCATGACCTAGTCTTTATATTGGGGGACCCTAAGTTTTCAGTACTTTTTCCCTGGGCCTGTTCATTTTCTTCAGAGAAGAATTGTCCGATTTCCTGCCTGTGCGATATGAACAGGGGTGAAATTCAACTGGTGCAAACCAGTGCAGCCATACTGGTTGTTAAAATGTTGCAACTGTTATTACTAGTGACATAGAGCCACTGCCCTGAGCTCCCAGACTGCCCCTTACTCCTGCCCCTCTGACCCTTCTAAGACCCCCCTCCCCATAACCTAGCAACAAAGGGGTTGAAGCCTGCAGGACGCTGCCTCAATGCTAAGGCCAATGTCCATTGTATTTGGTTGGTTCCCATGCTGCACTGGCTGTATTTGACATATTAAATATTAAAAACAAGGCATATGCCTGGAACTCTGGCAAAGCAGGAAGAGGGGGCTGGGTGGTCCTGACTCAGCATGCACACTCTTATCCCTTCCGCCTTTTAATGCACCCTGCCCTCCTCCTTGCCTGGGAGCCCATGTCCAGAGCCTCCTACCTCCTGCTTGTGTGGAGGAGGGTTGGTCCCTTGGCACCTGGCTGAGCAGCCACATGCAGGACTCTGTTCTTCCCTGTCAAAGCCCACCACTGTTTCATTCTTTTTAATAACATCTCGTGTCTCTGAATCCTGACCCCATCTTGGGTTCTTTGGCACAAATCCACTTGCTTTTGTTTTGTTTGGTTTGGTTTTGGTCTTTCTCCTCTGCAGGTGCTAACATTATTATTTGCTTTGCTTTGCTTTGCTGAGGCAGTTGCTGCCTGGCCATCTGCTTTCCACCCTCTAAACTTTTGTGGATCTGTTGGCACTAGCTTTTCATGGGTATGGGTGATTTCTGGGGCTCTCTTTCACTTTGAGCTGCTTGGAAGAAAAATGTTATATTAATTAGTCAAGACTCATTGATTGCATGGAAAAGAAAGTAACTTAAACTAGTTAATGCATAAGTGGGAAGAATATTTCAGGACCCAGGGGTTTTCTCTTAGACTCAAGTGCAAGGAGGCAGTCATGAAGCTGAAGTGCAAAACCTCGGGGCTTCTGTGACTCTTTTTGTCTTCTGAGTATTTATACTTAATTCCTCTCTTGTTTGTTTTCCCTATGACCAGCAGGGTCTCTCTCTCTCTCTCTCTTCCATGTAGTGGAATACGGCCTGAGTATACCTGCTATGATTCCAAGTACCAGTAGCATTTAGCTTGCTGCCTCTCTGACCCAGTTCCAAAGTAAGGAAGAAATGAAATTGGTCTAGCTCGGGACAGCCCCCTGGCCCCATCCAATCCAATCCACGAAGATCCTGGTGGGTAAGGAAGTACAAGCCATGTTACCACATACACAGGCAGGGGTGGGAGACTATTTTCAGAAGGGAGAAAACCATGGCGAGCTGGGCAGACACACCAAAAGGTGTCAGCTACAACAGAGGGGAAATAATCAGTTATTTACTCATCTAATTTCCTTTATACTTCCTTTCCTCCAATTTTATTTAGAAGAAGATCAGACAGATTGTGGGAGGCATTCACAGCTGCTCTCCAAAGTTGCAGTAGGGGCCCCGCGCGGTGGCTCATGCCCTAATCCTAGCACTCTGGGAGGCCGAGGCAGGAGGATCATTTGAGCTCAGGAGTTCAAGACCAGCCTGAGGAAGAGCAAGACCTCATCTCTACTAAAAATAAAAAGAAATTAGCTGGACAACTAAAAATATATAGAGAAAAAATTAGCCGGGCATGGTGGCGCATGCCTGTGGTCCCAGCTACTCGGGAGATTGAGGCAGAAGATTGCTTGAGCCCAGGAGTTTGAGGTTGTTATGAGCTAGGCTGACTCCATGGCACTGTAGCCCTGGTAACAGAGTGAGACTCTGTCTCAAAAAAAAAACAAAAAAAAGAACAAACTTGTAGCAGGGGCAGTCAGAAACTATGCCTGGAGTCGAGGCAGCCACAGCAGAAGCTGGATCCCCCTAGGTCCTTCACAGCCGGTCTGTGTCAGGGTCTCCTGAGAGGAGTTTACCTTGTTTCCTGGGTCTCTCCCCAGTTGGACTCTGCCCTGTTGCCTAGGGGGCCTCGCTCAGGGGCTCTTCACAGCCTTTGCCAGAACCTTATATAATTTTTTTTTTACTTCCTCTATTTTAAAAGGAAAATACTGACCAAGATTTGCTTGGGGAATTTTTCAAATAAATATGGCAACACACAAACTGTGGACTATATATCAAGTTCCTCTGAATATTACATGCCAAGGAAGAAGTGTTTGAGTTAGAACTCCATATCCCAAGTGACAGAATTCATTTTTTTAATGAAATGTTTGTTGAATAGGGCAGGAGAAAGCAAGCACATGTGCTACTTATGCTAATAAGCATTTGATAAGTAGAATGCAATTTTCTCTTTAATCAACCTAGTGCCCATCATGTTCAATTAGTAATGCACTGGTGACAGTCCATGCAGGGCTGGAAGAAGAGAAGCAACCGAATGCTGTTCAGGGATCTACAGCCCTGCCATATGACACCACCCAACACCATGCAAATGACTTCAGAGTTAAAAAGGGCACAACTCACAGGTCTGAAATTCATTTCCAGTCCCTTCTGTAGACACAGGGACCACACTGCATGTATCATGACATTCCTTTGGAAATGAAGTCCTTTTGAAATGAAGTTATAACTGTACTATTTTTATCTGGGTAGCTTTATAATAGCTGTGAATCACTGAACTAGAAAGTACTTTTCAGGTGATGCTTTATTTAAGCATTGGTGCATGCTAATAGCAAAATTATTAGAAATAAAGTGAATAAAGAGATGGACCTTCTTAGTTTTTATTCTAATATTTTAGACTTTTAGAACTGTCCCTGCTGCAAATATGTTGAATCTCCTACAGTGGGTGCTATCTGCATGTACCATGAATGGCACTTAGGCACATTCCCAAACTACTATGTCACTTTCCTAGTGGTGTTCTCTGAAATTAGCCCTGAAAAACAGACATTAGCTTTTCTTCTGTCTGTTAATAAAATGTTTAGCACTTTTTTTTTAGAGATGTGAAGATTTTTCCTATACTAGTTCCACAAGACAGACTCCGTAAAGAAATGCATTTAGATTCCTCCCTGGAAGATGCTGAATTTATGAGACAGTAGGGCTTGTCTATCCTTGAGAAAGTTAGTCTCTAGATAAAAGTCCAAAATGATCATTTTATTTATTTTTTTACAATGTGCCTTTCCTTGTTTGTCTAGGCTTTTTTTTTTTTTGAGATAGGGTCTCACTCTGTTGCCCAGGGTAGAGTGCAGTGGTGTCATCATAGCTCACTGCAACCTCAAAACTCCTGGGCTCAAGCAAACCTTCTGCCTCAGCCTCCCAATAAGCTGAATTTTAATCTCAGATTCGAACAGTTGAGTTAATCATACTCACACCATCACCATTGTCCTTGCCCCTAACCTCACTCCCATTCATCCCCCCATTTCCATAGGTATTTTCTCTAATGCAGATCATGTTTTTCCTTGGATATAGATATATCTTTAGAAGATATGCAGTGTGGACTTTTTTGGTATATGTATGATTTTACTATAAATAAGTGACGTTGTACTATTGATCTCATTTGTTGTTGTTGTTGTTTTTTTTTTTGAGACAGAGTCTTACTTTGTTGCCCAGGCTAGAGTGCCATGGCGTCAGCCTAGCTCACAGCAACCTCAAACTCCTGGGCTCAAGCAGTCCTGCTGCCTCAGCCTCCTGAGTAGCTGGGACTACAGACATGTTCCACCATGCCCGGCTAATTTTTTCTATATATAGTAGCTGGCCAATTAATTTCTTTCTATTTATAGTAGAGACGGGGTCTTGCTTTTGCTCAGGCTGGTTTCAAACTCCTGACCTTGAGCAATCCACCTGCCTCAGCCTGCCAGAGAGCTAGGATTATAGGTGTGAGCCACCGCCCCCGGCCTATTGATCTCATTTCACTTTAAGCTTTTCCCTCCACACTGTTTTTAAGATCTGTCCATGTTGCCGTATATACTTATATTATAGCTCAGTGCTTTTGATCACTACATAAGAGTATATATTTCTGCCTTATTTTTGTCTACCTTGTTCTAACTCTCCACTGTTATGAAAATGCTGCCATGATCATCCTTATATATGACCATTTTGGGACCAGTGTGAGAATTTTTCTCAGGTATGTACCATAAATAGTGTCAGCTTATATTCTATGTTAACTATATTGCCCCATACTCCCACCAGTAATGAATGCATGAGGGTTCATAATTTCCCAGATAGCCTCTAACGCTTGGCATAATTTGACTTTCCAATGTTGTATTAATCTGATGAAAATAAAAGTTTTAATTTTTATTGTTTTTGAATTTAATATATCTCTGGTTGTATCCTAGTAATTGGGTTTTTGGCCTAATTTTTCTTTCATTGTATTGTTTTAGTTCCTTGGAATCTCCCTTTTACTATTGAAGTTGGAAAATTATTCTATAACCTTTTGACCTTTCTTATTGGAGGTCAGAGTTTTTTTTTCTTCCCCTCCTCCCACCCGAAGGTTTTTTTTTTTTTTACTTGTCCTGCCCAAGTTCTTGTTATATTCCCAGAAAAATTTAATTATCTTTTTGTTGGTTTACTCAGTACAAATCTTTTCCTTCTATAGTCATCCATTGTTAACTTTTTGACTATGGTGTCTTTTTTTTTTTTTTTTTTTTTTGGAGACCGACTCCAAACTCTCCTTGCCTGGCCCTTAAAAGTGGGGGGCCGTGGCGTTTTTTAGCCCTAAGCTTTTCAAAACAGCAAACCTTCAAAACTCCTGGCTCCAAGCCAATCTGGTTCACCCTCCCCTTGAGGGTAAGCTGGGAACTACAGGAATTGCACCTACCAAGGCCCCGCCTAAATTTTTTTCTAGTATAATTTTTAGTTTTTCAAAACCCTACAATTGACTTTCTATTTAGTAGAGAAACAAGGGGTTCCTCACTCTTGCTTTCAGGCTGTCCCTCGAAACCCCTGAAAGCTCGAAATGATCCTCCTGCCTCGGCCCTCCCAGAATGCTAGGGATTAACAGCAATTAGCCCCCACCAATTTGCCTGTTTTTGGTGGTTGTCTTTTGCAGGATAAAAATTCCCAATTTTAATATTTTTTGTCAGCTCATCAGTTTTTCCTCTTATGATTTATACTTTTAAAATTTCTAAAGTAGGCCGGGCGCAGTGGCTCACGCCTGTAATCCTAGCTCTCTGGGAGGCCGAGGCGGGCAGATTGCTCAAGGTTAGGAGTTCAAAACCAGCCTGAGCAAGAGCGAGACCCTGAGACTAAGTTTCCTCATGTCTGTGATGGGCTGGTGATTCCTAAAGCCCTCGCCAATGCCAAACTTTATACGATTCTGAACCTACAGGGTTCCACAGGGGTGGAACCAAGGCTGCTTTATGGGAATTTCAACCTTTTGGTTTTTCTTGTTCTTTTCTGCTAGAACTGCTGATGAAAAGTGAAATGGCCAACAAGCCAACAGCCTGGAGGGCTGCCTTAGAGCTGTGTAATTAACAAGCTGCAAATATGGCTTCTGGATGAGTTCAGCTGGTTTTATTGTATTAGTTGCTCTTTAGCAACTGAAAGATGATGTGATTCCTGATGTTTAGTTCCCTATTCTTGAAATTAAGCCCATTCTTGAGGGAAACAGTATTAAGAATCATTGATGATCTTTAAAAAATGAAACAAAGCCCAGAGGACTGATCTGCCAGTGCTAAAGAGAGGACAGAAAGGGACAGAAATCCCTATTTGATAGACAAAGGAAAAGAACACTGCCTTTATGCAAAAGCAGTATTTGGCTATGAAAAAATCCAACAATATGTTTTTTTTTAAAGGAGGACGGACAGGTTAAGTAAAAGAAACCATTACAGAGTAAGAAGATAATTCACTAAAAATCCTAAAAGCATATCCATTATCAAGATACAGTCAACAGTGGGAGTCAAGAACCCAACCCTAGGCCGGGCCGGTAGCTCACACCTGTAATCCTAGCACTCTGGGAGGCCGAGGCGGGCGGATTGCTCAAGATCAGGAGTTTGAAATCAGCCTGAGTAAGAGCGAGACCCTGTCTCTACTAAAAAAAATAGAAAGAAATTAATTGGCCAACTAAAAATATATAGAAAAAATTAGCCAGGCATGGTGGCGCATGCCTAGAGTCCCAGCTACTCGGGAGGCTGAGGCAGAAGGATTGCTTGAGCCCAGGAGTTTGAGGTTGCTGTGAGCTAGGCTGACGCCATGGCACTGTAGCACGGGCAACAGAGTGAGACTCTGTCTCAAAAAAAAAAAAAAAAAAATAGGAACTCAACCCTCAAGAAGAACTGGAAGAGCCCGGCAAAGGCCTAGAAAAATGAATGAAGTACGGAGTCAACTCACTGGGGGCTGTGTATAATTGAGACATGGCGAAATGTAGTGCTGAATACCCTCTTGTACATCAGTAACATCCATGTTTAATTAGGCTAAGAAGAGCAAAGGTGTAGTGATGTTTGGGTCAAGCGTAATATTGATAGTTAACACATCTCTGTTTATGATGCTCCCTTGTGTTGCCTTCCACGGAGACAACTTTCCAAAGACGTAAATGTATTCCATACGTAATTGTGTATTGACAAGTTCAATCCTTTTGTCCACACTGGCGGGGTGATTCAATCTCTTAACACGTTTGGCTGATTTTATTTTTTTTTTTGTCTTTTTTAGGAATTAGCAAGGTTTTATAGTAGGACAGTATCTCAGTGTTAGTATTTACCTTTAAAAAATCTCTTACCATATGATCCAACAATTGAAAAAAAAATCTCTTTGGTGGTTTAACAAGAAGACACTGAGAAACAAATTCTTCACTATGATATAACCAAAGTTTTATTCATAAAGGACTAAAATTCTGTTGAATGTAGGCCAATTATAAAGGAGTTTATTCACCCACATTTTAGTGAAGTCTCTAATTCAGAGACTAACCTGCTATACACACAAGGGCAACATTTTGGCTACAGCTCTGAACTTAGTAGTTGGCTAAGCCTTTAAAGTATGGTGTAAATTGCAAAACAGGAGTTAGATGTCTGAACGGCTCAGACTGTAAATGCTAGGTTTCTATATTCTACATTATTTGTGAGTGTTTTGGGGTACTTAGGCCTTTGAGAGTTTCCAAAGTGAGATCCTACACTCTTATTTGTTCACAATGCAATTGAAAAGACTCTACAAGAGCAGAGGACTTAGTGAGGAAAAAGGCTCTGGGGTTCTGTAATTAATCCAGACCCTGCACTTGGACCCTGCCCACACCTCCTGCCTCCCCCAGCACCAGGCCCTCCTCACTCCCAGCATTCCAGCCACCGGCCTGCTTTCAGATCCTCAAAAGAATTTGCCCTCGCCTGGGGAACTTGGTACATGCTGTGCCCTTTGCTAGAGAGAGCGGACTTCCACTTTCCCTCTGCCTCATCTGGGTAATGCCTACTCCTCCTTAAGATTTCAGCTCCAGGACAGGCGTGGTGGCTCACGCCTGTAATCCTAGCACTCTGGGAGGCCGAGGCAGGCAGATCACTCGAGGTCAGGAGTTCAAAACCAGCTCTGAGCAAGAGTGAGACCCCGTCTCTACTATAACTAGAAAGAAATTAATTGGCCAACTAATATATATATAGAAAAAATTAGCTGGGCATGGTGGCGCATGCCTGTAGTTCCAGCTACTCAGGAGGCTGAGGCAGGAGGATTGCTTGAGCCCAGGAGTTTGAGGTTGCTGTGAGCTAGGCTGATGCCATGACACTCACTCTAGCCTGGGCAACAAAGCAAGACTCTGTCTCAAAAAAAAAAAAAAAAAAAAGATTTCAGCTCCAGAGTCACTTCCTCAAGGAAATCTTCCCCGAATCCCGGAATGATCTATGCCCTTTCTTTTCTGGCTCCCCCGAAGGCAGGAACCCCAGTGTTCACTTGCACTATTGAACCCTCTGTCCAGTGCAGTGCCTAGCCCATTGTAGGTGCCTGAGAAGTTCTCAGGTGAACATTGAACAAGGTCCCCATGACACAATCAGCCTGCTTCAATAGATTTTGAAAGATAGGACTGGAAAGGATCTCAAGAAATCATTTGACCTCTTCCCTAGTTTTTAAGAGTAGGTGATGATCAGGTAGAATAGCGTATTCCTATAACAGTAAGTTGGTTAGAGCATCTATTATGTGAACAAGTCTGTATGAGAGACTATGGCAAGGAATTCCATCTTTAAGTTGGAAATTGCAGGGAACACAGGTAGGCACATGACCAACTACACTACAGCCGCTCTACTTGTCTGTGGACAGAGACCTCGACTCTTTTCCTCCATGGGGAGACAGTGTGTCCTGGACACTCTTCTGAGTTCCCACAGGGTTCAGTTTGTGAAGTTGCGAGGCCACCGACCTGTGGAACCACAGGCTGCTGCTTGGTCCTGATTATGAGTTTCTGATGTTGTTTTGTTTGTTTGTTTATTTGTTTAACAATTGCTGAGTCACTGCAGAGACCAAAGTATGTGGTCTTTAAATGGCTCTACTGAGAAGAAAAAGTAGAAACCTTCTGTAAAGAAAAGTCAGCCAGCAACAGAAATGCCATTTCTTGTAAGTGTGATGTTTTACTAAGACGCCTTAATAAAGGAAGCAGATTTATCGTTAATATTCCAATTCCAAATGGGTGTCATAAAAGGCCTGTGTATGTCAGCTCTGGTTACTCTCTAACCTTGAAAGGCCTATTTTCTCCTCTTGCCAATTCGTCTATGGAGCTTATCAGGAAGAGAGGATTGCTGTTGCTGTCTAGTGCCCATAATTAATCCCAGAGACAGTGAGGATTTAGGACTACTGATTGTGGCTGACTTCAAATTAAAAAGTCACTGTTAGCGTGTGCAACAAACACCATATGTTAAAAACAAACCCTTTGAATGACGTGGAATGTCAAGATAATTCATATGTAAACACAGGTTGCTCTTAAGGTAGGTGTTTTTCTATGTGCCTGTTCACACTTTCCAAAGATGTTATGGACACACAGACATAGATGGCACGCTGTATTTCCTGCAATCAGTCCCCAGAAAATGTGTTCTGATTTTAAATATGACTATAGTGCAAACCTCAAATTACTAGTTATGAAAATTATCTTTCTCTTTACCCTCAATGTGGCAAGTACAAACAAAGACAGACACCAGTCTGATTGGTTAGTGTAATCCAATTGCC